TTTTTCCCCAAAAAAAATTTCATCCTTCAAATTCAATGTTAATCACTGTGAAATTTGGTTCTACGCCTTTTTGGGGGGGGTAATTTTTTGTCTTTTTATATCTCCCAGGTCCGATTCATTCAAGTGATTCATCCAAAAAAAAAAGTGTAATCAGACTTAAAGTTAGTGCCATCCCCAGTATTTAGGAACCAGAAAAATAGCTTAATCAAATCAGCACATTTCCAAGATGCATACATAACCAAACATTCACTAATCTGAAACCCTGAAACCCAGTCAAAGAGCTGCACTAATTGGATCTCTCATTTTAAACCCGAAGCCCCTCATGACCTGAACTAACATCAGCATACCCGCTCTGAAACCCGGCCCTCAGCCCAAAACCACAACCCAAGATGAAAACACAGGCTGGCCAAATCATTAGCTAATGCCTCTGTGTATGGCAGTGTGACTCACAAGTTGTGATAAATTATGAAGTGCGCCATCGTACCAGATTAATTATGTCAAGCGAAGTCTGAATGCCTTTTCCAGGACTGGCACCTTGGGATGCCAAAGAGAGATGTCAGTATCTCATAAGGGGTTTGCTAAAGCAAAATATATGAGTACTGCTCCGAGAGAAAATAAATAAAAATCAGTATTTAGTTTATTTTTCATTAAATCCTATGGATTTTTTGTTTGTTTGTTTGTTTTCTTGTTTAAAGCATAATCATCACTTAATTGGTAATACTTAAAGCAATGCAATCTCTTTGCCAACAAGTCAAGAAAAATAAATGTAGATATATATCTGGTAATACGTCATACTATCTTTCTAAATTTATCTTGTTTAAAGGATGTCGAGATACTTCTAATGGAGTGAAAAACGATATTTTGCTTCCATTTATATACAGTATGTGTATAATTTTCTGTTTTCCCCAGTGTATTTGAGTCTCAGTCTAGCAGTCAGTTTTATTTTTCCCCTAATAATAGCATGTTTTATGTTTTTTAACTGCCTTTTTGCCTTTCAGTTGTTTGACTAAAATGTCATTTAAAATCTCCCAGTCTTAACGATAGTCTTTTTTCTTCTATTAAACTCTAAACAACTCCTAGTCTCCTGAAAGAAGTTGAATATGAATAGTACATCAGCATTACTTTACTGTTGTGTCTTGTTTCCCAAGAGCATTATTACCTTGTTACATTCCCATTTTGCCTTCCAGAAAAACCAGAGCAGAGAACTTTTTTCCCATAATACCTTTTTAACAAACACCCTACATGTTGCTTTAAGTGCAACTCCATCATTAAATAACAAATGGCACAATTTTAGTGACATTATGGGGAACATTATGTCGAATCTGGGACTGGTTCCCGAAGATAAATCCTAATCGTGAGCATAAAATGTTCATTCCCAAAAGTGCAGGCGGATTCTCTTGAGTCATGGCGGCATACTGATTTTCCCTTCGCACTTCACCCTGCGTCCTGATGCAGGACACTATGCATAAATCAATATCCCCCTCAGACATGAGAATAGTTTTAAACAAGGGCCTTGATGAGCAATTTCAAGCGCAAAGCACTACCTCTTCTCACAGATGACATGCTGGAACATGTTGACACTCTTTACACGCACTGACAAGAGAGAGAGAGAGAAAGAGACACTTGACACACAGATGCGTCTTGAGAAAGTCCAGACAACTACTAGTGTTTCCACTTGTCCTCTTCCTTGTTTCTCTAGCAGTGTTTTTTCTTATTTCAAAAATCTACTTCAACATCTCTCATATTAGAATCATTTTTGTGAAGTATGAACAATAAAAACAATTGTATTGTAATTCAGTAATACCAAAAAGAGCATATTCAAGAAATCCAACCTAACCTCAAAACGTTTCTGTTTTAACCAAAAAGCAGATTTTTTGTGATTTTTCATTTTCATTTTAAATGTTAATGTTTTCTGTATATTTCCAAGATTACAAAAGCAGATTTTCATTTTAAATTTTAAATGCAAACATTTTTTTTCTTCCCAGAACTAAACCAAAAATCTGATTTTCAGCTATTTTAATTTTCAATTTTAAATGCTGAAAATGCCTACATATTTCCAGGATTATAAACCAAAAAGATGATGTTTAGTGTTTTTAATTTTAAGAGACCACTTTACTACACAAATATCCATATATTTACAGGATTTTAAAAAAAAAAGCAGATTTTTAGTGATTTTCATTTTAGAACACCACTATACTGTAACATTTTCTAAATATTTCCAGGATTATGAACCAAAAAGCAGTTTTTCATTGATTTTCAGTTCAGGACACCACTTTACTGTGAATTTGTTTAATATATTTCCTGAATTACAAAACAAAACACAGCTTTTCAGAGATTTTCACTTTTGTATTTTGAGATAATTTCATGGCACTAATTAATATTTATGCAATAATTACGATGAATATCTGTCCATTGAAAATAATACTTTTTTTAATTTAAATATATTTTTATATTACTTCTCAATGAATGCAGTATTTCATGTTAAAATAGAGTCAATGCCTTTAAAATCCCATTTTTGAAGCCAGATCAGTGGCATCTGGTGGGAGTGAAATAAGAAAAACAT